TGCGTCGTTCTTTCTCTCAGTAAGACGCAATTATTCAAACAAACATAAAGTAATTAAGTGGCCCCGGTGTAAAAGCTGATTGCTTTTTAACTCGGCCGATCTTTGACTCTCTCTCTCTCTCCCTCTCCCTATTCTGATCATCGTAATTCATTTCAATTTCACAGAAGAAATTGTGTAGTAGCCGGCCAATCAATCCGTTTTGCCGGAATGTGTTTTATCGAAAAACGAGTTTCAATTGAACGAATTTCACTCCGAGCGAAACAAATCAGAGAGAGAGAACGAGAAAGAAGAACAAAATGAAATGAGAAAGAGAAGAGGCATCTCTCTCTCTCTCTCTCTCTCTCTCTCTCTCTGGTGGAACTCTCTTCATTTCGGCCGTTTTGTAATCGGTGAAGTAATTTGATCTTGTGTTGAAAATAAGTATTTAGTGACACTACATCACACACAGTTCACAATTTGAGTGACGAATAAAATGAGTGCAAGATATCAGGTTTTATATTCTCGATGTCTCGTATCCTCGATTGATCGAATGAGCGTCGTACCGATTTTTTTTTCTCGTCGTGCTTTTCATTCTTTGATTGATAGCAGCTTTGACGTTACAATTGGCTGTGATTGTCGATACATCTCGATGATTTTGAGCGCGACCAGAGAGATGTTTGCAAGTCAATGCATGCATGAATACCTCTTATGGTTCGACTTAAAATTTGTGCATTTCAGCAATGCAAAACGCTGAATATTAAATGAAGTTGGTATAACATCATTAAACAAGTTTTCTTCTCTCTTTTTTTTTTACTCGTACGGAGTAGTACTTTGAATTATGATTGTGGATTGTAAAAAAAGGCAGCAAAAGAAAGAAGAAACTACCACACACACACACACACACACACACACACACACACACACACATACACACACAACACGGACAAAAACATAAATAAATAAAATAACAGCAAACGACGAACCGAGGAAAACATAACGCAACAACAAGCCAACAAATGAGAGAGCCACGATACTTTTTCCCTTTGTATCCTCCTGTTTGTATAGAGGTCAGAATTGAACATGGCAAAGGCGAAAGACACATAGACTTCATACGGAAAAAATGAAGAAAAAAAAAGGAGAAAAAACAACAACGAAGTGCCGAAACGAAAAAAATATTCAGAAATGCAATTTATAGCAAATGCCTGGGATAAGAACGCAATGATTGAACTGAGTGTGTCTTGAAGGTTCTGGTTGCTGCAACGCTCGTCGTTCAAATTCGATTTCTTTTTTCGGTTTTCGGTGCAATGCGTTCTGTGTACGCAACTTTAACGTATTTATTATATATTTTGGCTCAATTGGCTCTCTTTCACCGGTTCAATTACTTGATTTGTACATTCTTTTTTTTGTTCTGCGGTTTATATGAACCTTCTGTCCGTTCTGCTTTTCATGTTTGTGCGTTCTGTGTGTGTGCGCGCGCGCGTTTTTTCTCGTTTCGTTTCGTGTCCACATTCGAATTCGAGGAGAACACACATCTCATACCCCTTATAAATGTACATTTGTTTCAATAAAATAACAAACAGACGAAAAAAAAAGAAAACACATCGCAAAAATGTGCATACGAAAAATTGATAGTCGTTTTTTTCTCTCGTTTTTCTGTGTTACTTTGAGACATTTTCAACTTTCGTATATGCTCCTTTTTTGACGAATAACCATCGCTTTTCCGCATGCTCGTTCCACCCAAACTTACAATAATTCTTACCTTTTTTTCGTCATTCTTTATCTCATTGAAATCCATTGGCGTTTTTTTCTTCTTCTACAGGAACAAATGCAAAATACGTACGCTCACTCAGTTTTTTTTTTCTGCGTGCAAAGGTATTCACGCATTATTTTCGCTTGAAAAAAAAAATAAAACAATGACTCATTTTTTTAAACTGCCCGTTGGAGACCATTGTTATGAAAACGGGACGATCTACTCGATCACATGCATTAAAAACAACGGTCAGACGTCAATAAAAACAACAGTTTGAACTGCAGCGCATTTATTCGATTCGAATTGAAGTTTTGCGCCCATAATGATGCGCTCGGATATGTTGTTGTTGTTGAAATTTGAGAAAACGAGCCTCTCTTCGAGTTACCAACGGCATCTTGATAGAGTTGAGATTAATAACAAAGCGATCGTGTACGCCGTTCCATTTATTCGTTCACATGACAAACGAATTTTTGATAAGTTAGATCGAATAATGCAAATGAGTGTAGGGGAGGGGGGGAATGGAAATGCAAACCGATTTGTTGATCGCTTGCCACAATGAGTTTCTGCTTGAAATAATAAAACAAAAGAACTTATTTAACTAACGACAAACCACGAAATGAATCGTACATTCAGCCTGGGCTTGTGTGTGTGTGAGAAAACCTTATTAACTCACCGAATCGAAACATTTCCCGGTAGAATTTGTACGTGAAAACAAAACCAAAGCGTCTCCAACATTGCCCAAAATCATCGCTTCGCTTTGCTCACCGAGAGAAACTGGCAACGAAGACAGAAAACAGTTATGATTGCAACAACTTATGAATAAAATATGATAACGGATATGTAACTCACTGCGACAAAAATGCAATAGAGAACGAGAAAAGAAAGAGAAATACTAATAAATTTATTCGCTCTGAGAGAATGCATTTCATTTTCGTTCGCTTCGATTCGGTTATTCTCTGGAGATATTTAATTCGTAGATTGAATAAAAATGGTCGGTTTGGCGGCGGTGTGTGTGTTGGCCCTGTTATCGTTCATCAATAACGAAATGTTTTACTTAATATGATTTCTTTTCAAGATAAATGTTGTACATGCATTCGTTATTCGTATTTGGTGATGTTTTGTTTAATTGCTTTTTATTTGTCTCTGTTACTTTGTTCTTTTTTTTTTTTTAATCCATAGACAAAGGAATAACCGAAAAACAAAACCCATATCTGCGTCAGATTTCATTTTCGATTCAATTCCAATAGGTTCTTGATTTCGCTGATAATTGCCACACGGCTGTTGCGTTGTGGCGCTCACACGAAAAATCCAATATTGGCGTTCGAAAGTTGCAGCAAGATAAAAGGAAATGCGATGAGTGTCATCGTTTTCATTTTTAAATGTAAATTATGGAAAGTATTACGAAGTGGATGGTAAAAATTGAAATCAAACAGAAAAGATAAAAAGATATATATGCATACATGGGGCAGCGCAGCGCAGTGAAACCGAAAAAAAGGTGAACAAAATGAAATGTGTGGTGTGTGTGCACAGTGCGCATCGTGTGATAACGATATATTTTCTTTTTTCGTTCGTCTTCCTTTCTTGCCGAAATGGCTTTTTGGTCTTTGGCCGTTCTCATACGACCGTTGCATCGTATCACCATTTCATGTGAATTGTTCGAGTCGAATGTTCACAATTTACAAGATCAATAATTATGCACCCAATCGTGTCTACCGCACAAGCTGTGCGCAATTTCATAATAAATGTGGATCGCAAACTAAAACCCGGCAATTTTTTAGTTCTAGTGCTGATCACTTCATGCGCTGGCCCCGTCACATCTCTCTTGCTCCCACCGTTGCCATTTCTCTTCGGTTTCTTTTCCATTTTTTCTTCTTTTTTCGTTCGTTCGTTGTTGTAAATTCTTTTATATCCATTTTCGACTATAGATTTTACACCATTTAATCTGATACTGGAAGAGTCCAGTTATTGTTCGATTTTGGATTTATCTGTCTCTTTCTCTCTCTCTCTCTCCCTCTTTATGCGTGTATGTTCGGCAAGACGAATTGTTTGTGTCGCTGTCGAAGAGGCTGCTTTTGGCGATCTCTTCCTGCCTTCGTTCGACGACCATTCGCCTGATGATATTCGCTGCTCCAATGAAAAGCATTAATGTAAAATAAGTAATTCCGTTCTTGGCCATGTCAGCTTGGCAAAAAACAAACCGTGTTTGTTGCCATTGAGTCGTCAGAATCACAACATGTTCCAATCCTCATTTCTTCCATTCTCCCATCATTTCATTTCACCTTCTTCCTCTCTCTCGCTCACGCGCGCGCAATCTCTTTTCCATTCGCATCGGAAAATATTCATTGACCGAAACAAGAAAATGATGTAGAAACAGTCGAAAAAATGTGTTCGTTGTTATTTTTCAAACACGATGTCTTCGAAGGCTCCATTCCGCGTTGACAAACTTGCAATCAACACATTGTCACTGATCTATAGTTTCAACATTTAACTCTCTAATTGCTTCCCGCTGTTCAAATAGTTATGCAAAGAAAATGAGAGAAAAAAGAACCGATTTTATATATATATACATAACTCTGATTTAGTTGTTGCCATTAAATTGTTCGTGCTATTCATAAAACCGTGCTAACGACTGTGTCCGCTGAATATTTATATTTTAATTAATTTCAATTATAAATTCATTTTTTTTATCACAAATTCATCATTAGTCGCTTTATTAGAGTCTAATGCGAACACATTTTCCAATATAGCGCTAACATTATGCAGATGGTTTTTTTTTCCCGTTGTATGTTGTTCTGCGTGTCATTTTTGTTATGTTCCGAAAACACTTTATTTGAAGCGAGCCAAATTAAGAATTCAACCGCCGTTTGAATATCCAATTATTAAACCGTTTAGAAAGGTTCTGGTTGACGTTGGCTTTCATTTTTATTCTACTTCAACAACAACAAATTTTGATCAACATTTCACTGTGTATTCGATAAACAGACCACCCTCTGTCCATTGATGGCTTTGCTTATGGTTCAACATTTGACCCGGTATCTTCGCTTGATTTGTATATATGCTATCTACATAATTGTTGTTCTTTTTTTTCGACAGTCATGCTCAAACTTGATTAGCTTCAATTTATCACTGAATTCCAATTAAAAAAAATCACAAAAACAATGTATCCATCATTCCATATAGTTAAACCAACGATCAATATTTGATAAATCCATCGTTTTTGATATTTTCTAACATTGGTTTTTTTTCTGTCAAAAAAAAAATTTCATTACAGAAGCAGCGGGAGAACTAGGATGGACTTTTACGTTAATTATAGTATCAATAATTTCAGGTAACGTTATTCCTTTCGATAGAAAAATAAACAGAAATTTTTTATCAGCAAGTTGTTATTTCTTACATATATTTTATTTTCTTTCGTTCAGCTCTTTTAGGTGCTATCATCATGGTTATAGTCCTTAGGTGTAAGCGGTAAGAGTTGTTTTTTTGTGTGTGTTTTTGAAATTATATTTTATTTCTTTATTAAACGAACATAGATTAAGTCACGTATTAATTGTTGACTCGACTATTTCTTGGCATTTGAATTAATCGAAATCGACACGAACTGCTTTGAATTGACCACTATTAAATGCTAACAACACAAATCCAATCGAGTTGTATGTTGGTTTAGTGTTGCTGCGCTTAATTGGGCAGCGCTTCAAGCAACAACCAAAGTCATAATTTATACAGATTTTTTTTTTTAATTTACTCGATTCAAGTCGCGAATGCCAATGCTCTGCAATAAACAACAATTTCTTAAATGATGGTCGAGTGACAGTAAATTACTTGATTAAGCTAGAAATAGTAGCGAACCTCCCGGTGGATTTGTCTCATAACTTGTCCTATATGCCAACTTAATGCCGCACCAAATTTGGTAATTTGTAATTTATTTTGCGCAAAACGAAATCGAATGAAATTGCTACAAAAAAAGTGTGTGTGTGTGTGTGTTGTGTGTGGCTAGCGCCAAACTCATTCCCACGCACCTGTTCTCAAGCATCACATCACATCGTCGCTCTCTTTTTTTATTATCATCATCGACCAATTTCAATACGCGATTCTATTTTGTGGCCGAACAGCGCATCAATTCGATAAATACCAATTTTATCGGATTTTAAATAACTGAAACGCTACAATTCGATTAATGCCAATGGAAAATGCAAAAATTATTAAGTCGTGTACAGTTATGGATTAAAGTTATGTGTGTTGAGAATGTGATTCAGTGGAAGATAAGATGAGATCAAGATGATCATTCGAATAAAGACTTTGTGTCAACACTTTTTGGCGCGTGATCACTATTTTGTATTTTCTGTATGTTCTTTGATAGTAATCTAGCCAGAAAAATGAACAGAATGAAAAAAAAAATTATGATACCCAAAAAAAGATCGACTAATGATATATACTTCAGTTCGGCTGTCTTAATTTATTCCAAAGTATTTGGGCTGATTCTGCGAATGAGAAAAAAGAAGAAGTAACTGATTGGCTAATGTCGTCGTCAACATCGTCAGTTGTACATGACAGTTAATACCAGAGATTACGTCTCTTTGGAGAGATTTTTACACTGATCGCCGTAAGCCGTGTAAATTATTATGATAATCGTTTGTCGGCGACGACCAACTTTTTTTTTGTGAATAAAATTCACGAATTAGCGTTTCTGTCACAACTTAATTAGACATTTTTTTTCTCCCGTAGTTGACGAAAAGCTAACTGATGTGTGCAAATGAGGCCCATAATTTGCCGATTTAAATTTCCGAATTTACTAGCCGTGATGCCCATTCAACAAACAAAATCCGATCAATAGAATATTAGCGTGGTAGAGAAAAGCAAAAAAAGGGGAAAAAAATGTCAAGATGACACCGTGCATGTTCGATCGATTGTTGTTCGGCTTTGCAATGTGATTGGCATCATCTGTTTTGAGAATGAAAAATCTCGAAATTTGTGTCGAACATGAGCAACCATGGTTATACATCATTGACATTAATTCATGCAAATAAAACATTTAAAATTGTCACATTTTGATGGCGAATGCGATATTTGTGGCATATTTACATACAATGTTCGTTTGAAAAGGAACGAACGAAACGAAACGAGCGAGACCAGATCGATGGGCTGCCTGACATATGCATTCAATTTTATTTTTCATTCGCTTTTGCGGGACACACAGACGTCGAAGAGAGGCCCATGACATGCACACGAAATGGAACATGAAAATTAAAAGTAAACCTCTCAATGCACATTGAATGTCGTGCGCGCATGGCACTCGAATGCATTGGCGTTTCAAACCAAATATATGTGCATTGCCTGGTTGTTGTTGTTATGCCGAGTGTCGATTTTGTTTTGATTCTGGATTCGTTTAGTTTTTCGTGTGTATCGATCGGAATATTTCTCGAGTTGTTGTTATTAAGTTTTTCGTTTTTTTTTTGGTTTTTTTTTCTGACGTTGACTTGAGGATATTTCATTGCATAAACCCGTGTATTTCCCATGTAAAAACAAATGACTTTGCCTCGGGAGTTTCTCGCGTTTCCTTTCTATTACAAAAGATGACTCATTTAAAGAGTGTCATGCTTATGCTCTATTCCACAAGTATAGTCTGATGCCTCAAGGGCCTTAATATATACATTTAACTAATTTCACATTCACATTGTACCGAGAAAAAAAAAGTGCATTCATATTCACGCTTCAGTTGCAGTTTTGAAACATATTATTCACTTGCTTCGGTTTCGAACTGTTTGCCAAATTGAGTCGCGGGCGCTCAGTCGCTTGCTCTAGACAACATGAGCTCCAAATCGCTTTTTATTACATAATCAAACTGCAAACGTTTATTAAACAACACATTTTTCGATCGTCATTTTTCTGTTTTTTCTATTTATTGAATGTTTTTTTTTCTTCTCTTGCCTTGCTGTCGATGCACAAACACTTTTTCTGATCAATTCCAAACCAAACATAAATGTTACAATCTCTCAATACAGTTGCGCTGCTGCTGCATTATTATTAAAGGAGAAGCAAAAAAAAAATTAGCAGAAAAAAAGCTAAGAAATACGGAGTTGATGAAAACATGCTGAAATGCCGTAAAAGTTACGATTGTTGCAATTTAACATAATTTATCTATTTTTCAACGTTATATGTACCATATATTTCTGTGTGCGCGTTTTTTTTTATCTTCACTTCACTCATTCGCTCCGTTGTATCGTTTTCCGTTGAAATTTGCATTAAATGGTCTTTCTGCAATGAGAGTTGCCAAGCCATTGAATAGCTCCGGCCACTCATGGTTTAGAAAAATTATTTGAAAATATGTATCTGCTAAGTGAAGACCTGTCGTGCGAACACACCATTCGCTCCATTTGTGCGAAAGGAAAACGAAAAAAAAATGTTATTTTATGCGACGATTAGCACAAAATATACACACATACATTGCGAAAGATGAAAAAAAAATGGTATTGAGATATAAAACCTAATTAAGCGAACTTCTCTATTTGTATGCTTTAATGAATCAATTATTTGGCACGAATGCAGTTGTCAATCGGCGTGTGTATTTAATCATGAAAAGATTATTTAGTTTTCGATAATTGTTTATTTATTGATTTTCGAAGAAAATTACAAACGAAATTTATATTTTATTCATGAATTACAGTGAAAAACAATTCGTTTTTATGTTCCAAAATGATATTTGACTTAAATTAGTTCTTCCTTATACCTTTTCATGGTATATATCTTGTCAGCCAAAAATCCGTTAATACGAAATGATCCATATAAGAGTATACTACATGGACTCCACATTGTGGTACTTCAGCGTTTATTTTTTAAGGGAGTTAGTTTTTGGGATTGACATGTTCAGCATAGTTGTAGCACTTGATGAGTAGAGTAAATTTGATCGAGACAAGATGTCAAAATAATTTACCATTTGTGAGTTATAACCTCAAATGTCAAATAAATGGCGCTATTTTGACATCAGCTGTCATACTTTCACGGCTGTATCTTTTAAAGTACTTGAAATATTTGGTTGGTTATTATTGCATTTCGTTGGTCTAACCTCAAGCTTTCAAACGCCGGCTAAGATGCTTCAATATCATTCTTGGTTCAAGAAATATTCATATGTGTTGAAGGTGATAAAAGTGAAAAATAAAAAAAAAGTTTAACCGTCTCCATTTCCCAAACAACGGTTCGGTGGAGCAAAACATATATACCATTTCGAAGCAACATGAGCTTGTGCATCATACTGTATCCCCACTTTTTCAATTTCCATGAATTTTCTCTATTTAAACAAATATTAAACGGACCGTACGCTCAATTTTGTCCAGCACAAAAATGACATTCATCTACATTTTTCGATAAAAATCACAAAATCCAAAAAAAAAATTCAAAATTCTCTCGGTTACTATTAGTTCACATAATTACGCAACAAACAGTGCAAAGAATTGATTGAAAAAAATAAATTAGGTTCATGAAATAGTCCGCGATACATTTTTCTGGCAGTCGTACGCTCAATTTAGTCCATGACTGTATTTCGATAAAATTTTGATATTTATCATTTCAACAAATAACGTCGCGTCTCCAATTTTTCGAACATAATTTTGCAGATAAACTTTAATTTGAAGACCCACATTTGATATAGATAATAGATCATGGTCGTTGTCCAGGTTACAGCATATGCAAGAACATTTTACGTTTTGGCCATTGCTCGATTCTGTTTTGAAACACTCAAGGCAGCAAGGGATGAATGCTAGTTTCATAAGGCATAATTCAATGGACTGAAAACACATGAAAGTGATCGTGATGCTTGAGTATATAGTTGAAGTTAGCTCATCCCATTTTCTATGAGAAATCGCTTTATTTAATCCCCACAAAATATAAAACACATATGCGAATCGCATGATCCAAACATGCTGCCTTATCCACAGAAGGATAAAATATCGAATTTTTTTATCCATTTTAGAGAATATTCACTGATCTTACGCAAATGTCTCTTGACTGATGAAATGTTCGTCTCGGTTTTTTCTTTCTGACTGAATATCGGCGGTTTTACTTTTTATTCAACTATGTTGTTTTGATGTCCTACTCAACTACTGTGTTGTCACCATGAACAAAGATTGAACACAAGTGATGGACTGTGGTTTTCATGTACACTTTCTGGCTAATGGTTTTGAAAATATTAGGCTTATTAGGAAATTCGGGACAGACTGTTAACAATTAGTAGAAATGCCATTAACGCCAAAGTAATGAAGTGCATGCAGATGTTACTATGGCCGCACCGCAACTGAATTTACGTGCGCCAGACATGTTGAGCACTTGTAACATGAGCAATTACAAGAATTTTTTTTCACAAGAATTTTAGTTTTTCAAATCTGGAAGAGAAAAAATGTTAGGTATCAATCAAAAGAGTAGCGAATTCTGTAACAATTGGTGGTATTCATACAATGTTGTGATTGATATTCGCA